TGTGTGTGTGTGTGAGAGAGAGAGATGAATGGCGGGAACGTGAGAGTGTGTGCAGAGGGAGGGTAGGCGTGGGTGTGGGCGGGCCTCTGGCGCTCCAGTCCCGTTGCAGAGCCGTCTGAGTGGAGCAGGCACGTGTCTCAGGGGCGTGACCACGGAGTACACACGAGCCTCCCGCCGAGGCTGCGTGAGGGGGAGGAGGGGAGGAGGAGGGAGGCAGCAGGTTCAGCACAGACATGAGCACAGCTCGGATATTTCTGTGGTCAGACGCTCAGAGGCCATGTGCAGCTTTATAAACACGTCACGTGACCTTCATCAGCACTCGTTTGTGTCTGCATTTCCACGCTGAGTCCTCTGAGTGTCTGTGCTGGTCTGTGAGCTCGCTGTGGTTCCTCGTGTAGCGTGAAGGTGATGGCGGCTGCTCTCCTTGTTCCTGTCTTGGTGACCCAGTTTGTGAGCTGGCAGCGGGCCTTGCTGTGTGAGTGTGTGAGCACAGACTCACAAAGCACACATTCAGCCTGAGTCTGAGCAGCAGAACATGAAGGTGATCACAGCTCGCACTGGTCGCGTGTGTGTGTGTGTGTGTGTGTGTGTGTGTGTGTGTGTGTGTGTGTGTGTGTGTGTCACGTGCAGCTCTGACATGTGCAGACAAACATCATCCTCTCATAACAAAGAATCAGGGGTTTCCTCCTGTTAGTGCTTCTGACTCCTCGCCGTGTGTTGACTAACAAACACATCGTTAGTCAACACTAATGCTCTGTGAAGGCAAGGCAAGTTTATTTGTATAGCACAATTCAACAACAAGGTGATTCAAAGTGCTTTACAGAGACATTAGAAACAAGAACAAATAAAAAGCATGATTTAAAATTGATTAAAACAAGCAAATAAACTAACTAACTAATTAACAAACAAACAAACAACAGTATATAAAATCAAAACAGAAGGTCGCTGTGAAGGTCGCTGCGTGTCACGAGGTGAAAGGTGTTTGTCCCAACCTCAGTGGGGTCAGGTAGTTAGTGATATTGTATCATACAGGGACACCAGAAGCTGATACTTAATCAGATAAATTCAAATATTTTGGGAACACTACAAAACAGAGGGCCCATCTCTGCAGCGTGGTCCTGACATAACGTCCAACGCCATCGAAGCCACGGCGGTAAAAACAGGACTGCAGCCTCCCACAGAGATCAAACCTGCCGCTGCACCGATCGTGTTCAGTGGTCACAGTCTGCATGTGCTGCTGATGAAATCGTTGCTCAGAGCTTCACGTGATTTACAGGATGCTGATGGGAGGCAACAGGTCTGCAAACAGTCGCTCTCAGACGCTGTGCACATGTGGCAGCCGATCACTTCATTTTGAGCCCGCTCGGCGGCAGACCAACATTCACGGCAGCTTTCACTGGTGCTTTGATGAAACCTGAGAAGGTGTGAGTCTAAATCCCGCCTCTGCTGAGCGGCGGTACAAAGTCACGCTGCGCTGCACAACGAGCAGAACAAAGAGCAGAAATAAGCACTTACAGGCTTTTATTTTGTAGGAGGAGGCTGTGATGTGTACAAGCAGTAAAACCGAGTCGCTCAGAGCGTTCGAGGAGTAGAGGTGGAACGCTTCCCCCTCACCGCTGTCAATAACCTCTGACCTCCCCTTGCTCTCCTGCAGGAGGCGTGATCTCCTACGTGGGCTCCTCCGGAGGCTCTCCCACTCGGACCAGTCCGGTCTCCATGTACAGTGAGAACTCCAACTCCCAGTCCTTCTTCACCTCCTCCTCCTCCCTCACCCTGCCGTTCCTCAGCTCCGGCTCCAGCTCAGGGTCAGCCGGAGACGACGGGTCCTCCTCGGCCTCCTCGTCGGCGGGAGGCTCGCCTCGAGGCCGCGACGACGGCGGCTCTCTGAGGACGTCGCCCAGCAAGTCTGTGGCCAGTTTGACCAGTAAGTACGCAGTTCGTTTGCATGTTTGTGTGTTGAGCTGAACGGAACCTCTGATGTCACTTCCTGTATGTGACTGTGTTTCAGAGCTGAACGGCATGGTGCTGCTCTGTAAGGTCTGCGGCGATGTCGCCTCGGGTTTCCATTACGGCGTGCACGCCTGCGAAGGCTGCAAGGTGAGATCTCACACACACAATGGAACTACCGACTCAATGATAGTATTTGTGTTAATTAATTAAAATCTAAAACTGTTATTCTTATTTTTTGTTTTTGTAATATTTCAGAGTTATTTACTTCCTGTTTATTTTCAAATGCGTTATTTCTTTATTCACACACATCACATGCACACAGGCTTTAAGTGATGATGTGATGAAGCTTCAGTCCAAACTACTCTGCATTTATTAAGGCTGTTGTGTTTTTAACATGTTTTAATCTTTTGTATCTTGTTCTGTTTAATCTGAACAAGCCCCTAAAAACAGTCAGTGATCCCTGTCGGCCTCTCTCGGTTTTTATTACCACTGTTCATTTTAAAGCTCAGTTTTTAAAACCTTACGATGTAACTACAGCCCAGCCCAGGCAGCAGTATATGAATGACTAACCTCGTATTGTGGATGGATTATCTCAGTTGTTCTCCTGACTGAAGTTTGGTCCGTTTACAGCGTCCTGCCATGCGATTACATTTGTCTCTAACCATCAGGAACCTTCACGTTAACTTTTATCGAGTGGAAGAAAGTTAGCGTTCATCCTCCAGCTTCACTGTGTTTATGCTAACATAGCTGTGTCGCTAGCGGTCACGTAGCACATCATTATATAGCAGCTAGCCCAACTTCAGTAACCCTACAAACGTCACTGCTGTTTAGTTTTCTGTCTTCATTCATGTTGGAAGTGACAGCAGAGCTGTACGTTTTAATTTGTTTCAGAAATCTCTCAGTCAGAACATGCTATTTTTGCGTGGAAGCTAGCGAGCTAACTTCCGCTAGCTTCCTGCTAACTTCTAACTCCGTTAAATTTAATAAATTCTGTTTTCATGGATGTTAAACTTAACTGTTACACCTGGTAAAGCAGCAACGCTGATCATTTTATTACAGATGAAAGAGTTTAGACAGTTTTTAACTCTCAGTGATGCCGCAGTGTTCGTTTGGCTTTGGGACCTGAAGCGGCTAATGACGTCAGACTTAAAGACCGGATATACAGTCCGCGGATTTTGGCAGTTTTGGGGCTTGGTGGTGATGACGATGATGATGCTGAAGGTGACGGTGTGGGCGTGTCTGGTCTTGCAGGGCTTCTTCCGCCGCAGCATCCAGCAGAACATCCAGTACAAGAAGTGCGTGAAGAACGAGAGCTGCACCATCGTGAGGATCAACAGGAACCGCTGCCAGCAGTGCCGCTTCAAGAAGTGTCTGTCTGTGGGCATGAGCCGCGACGGTGAGCGCCCGCCTCACCTGCACGCCCACCTGCAAGCCCGCACACTCTGAATCCGACCTAACTCCTCCTCTTCCTCTTCTGTCCACAGCGGTGCGCTTCGGGCGGATCCCGAAGCGCGAGAAGCAGAGGATGTTGGCCGAGATGCAGAGCGCCATGAATAACATGGTGAACAACCAGCTGCAGAGCGACTTCCAGCTCGCCAGCCTGTCGTCGTCCTCCTCTTCCTCATCCTCTTCCTCATCCTCTTCCTCCTCGCCGTGCCCGGGGGTGACCATCGCCCCCCGGCCTCAGCCCTCAGCCCTGCCTCCAGCCCCCTCCTCACCCTCCCCACCTGCTTCGGCTTCCTCTTCCTCCCCACCGCCTCTTCCCTCCCATCAGAGCTCCTCCCCCTCCTGCTCCCCACCCCCCAGCCCCGGGATGGACTCCACCATTAGCGCCATTGCTCGCGCTCACCGCGAGACGTTCCTATACGCTCACGACAAGCTGGCCAATAACCACGTCCACCACAATGGGGAGGCGGAGCTCTGGCAGCCCAACCGCTGCCCAAACGGTTACCATGCCAACGGCCTCAACACCATCTACCACCACAATAACAACCTGGCCACAGAGTGCTACCTACCGGAAAACAGCCGCACACATCTTCACCGTAGCAACGGGAGGCAAAGCCAGCAGAGCGGTCCCGCTGGTCATGTGACCCAGGAGCAGCGCTGTCCAGTGAAGAAGCAGACGGGGATCGTGCTGGTAAGAGCTCATCCACTGGGGGAGGGTTTACAAGCTGTCACCTGATTGGCTGACGGTGCTGTCCTGTCTCCGCAGGCTTGTCCAATGAACATGCAGCCTCACGCCGACCCCTCGAAGACCCCGCAGCAGATATGGGAGGACTTCTCGCTGTCCTTCACGCCCGCCGTCAGGGAGGTGGTAGAGTTCGCCAAACATATCCCAGGATTCAGCGGTCTGTCCCAGAACGACCAGGTGGCCCTGCTGAAGGCCGGCACCTTTGAGGTGAACCTGTGATGTCACTCGGTTTAGTGGGCGAGGTTTGTGCTGATTGACCCTGTGCACGAGAAAATGCTAACTTCCTGGTTTGAGACCTGATGTGGGGTTGTACATTTCCGGTAGCTTTACTTTGCAGTCAATCGCTACTGCGAAGATATATCCTCCAAAATCATGTCCAAAACTCGAAAACGGAAAGATGGCGTTAAGTTACAAAGAGCAGAAGGTGGGAACACTCACCGCTGCTGTGTCATAAAAAATCTAATGATCAGTTTTGACGTTTAAAGCGTTTCGATCGATCAGTTGTTTACATCACTCAACACAAGCAGAACTGCATCACTGCAGCAGAAGACACATCGTCCACATGCAGAAGCACATCTCTGTATAGTGACTGGTCTGATGATCTAAACAGGCAAATGTTCAGCATTCAAACTACAGGTGAAAACAGTCAAACCAGATGTTTCCCCGTTATGTCGAGATCAGCTAGTCAAGTACACACCTACACAGCATGTTAACAAACCGTGAAAAAAGCCACACAAAAATGAATGATTGCTGGTAACGGTTTCTATACATTAGTATTTACGAAGGGTATGTTGTGACTTACCTTCAAAATTACAGCGGCCCCTCACTATTCACCTTTCACCTCGCTGTTTCGCAGATTGCAAGTTTGCTGCTTTTTTTTACGTCACATTGTGTCCTGATCGCTGCAGACGATCTCCTCCGTGACGTCTCTCCTGTACAGCACAGAATCGCTGCATCGATGCTAGCAGTGTGACTCTGAGGTGCAGTGCTGTATGTCCACGATGTCCAGGAAACGTTTTGCACCGTCAAAAAATAAAATTGGCTGCTTGATTTCACCTCTCGCTGGTTATTTTTAGAACATAACACCCGCGATAAACGAGAGACAGCTGAGAAATATAACATCTGAATCCTTTTCTCTTTTGCTCTGAGGCGCGGGGAAAAATATCACAAGTCGATGAACATCATTTACAGATATATTGGGTAAATGCCCGAGACATCTATAGAAATGTAAATCGCCGCTTGATTCATTCATTTGCTTAACTTGTTTTGGACAATAAACCAGGCGCGAATAGGACACCGGAAACAAAGCTCCCCACACGAGTTTCCGCACCGGAAGTAGCATATGCTAACGTGCACATAGTCAGTTGGTTGACTGAGATTCCTTAGATGCTGTACCCGACCTGACCACTAGGCAAACTGGGGGCGCTGCACCCACCCTCTAGATATTTACCATGTCTTCTCACTCAGCCAGTTACAGCACTGTCATCCAATCAGAGCACATTTTAGGGAAATGACCTCTGACCTTTGAAAAAACTATTGAGTTCACCCTCGAGTCCACAAGAGTGCGAGTTTAAAAACTCCCACTAACGTTCCCGAGGTCAAAGATCTGAAGCTCAGGTTGCTGTTTAGTTGCATTTGTTCATGGAGACGTAGCGGTCGCAGCAGTTGCTTGTTGCAGCATTTGGTTAAGTTAGTTAGTTGCCGTGTTTAGTTGCAGCATTATGTTTCATTGTGAGACGCAGTCTTTGCTGTATTCTGCCCTCGCACTTAACTAGACAGATGGACAACCATCTTCCCATGTAGAAAAACCACAGCGCTGTTCCTTTCTGGCAGATTTATTTGACTGGATGCTTCGCATGGCTTTGTTGAAATACATGAATGTGCCATAGGGGTAGCAAACTGTCCTTCTCCCGCTAGACAGGAAGTAATGAGAAATAGCACTTCTGGTAGGATGTCAAAATAAAATGAACAGTGTGCCAGAAACAAATAAAGATTGCATGAACTTATATAACACTACATAACATGAGGGGCGAATCTTAAGGAGCCAGAACATGCTGCATTGTCTGTAGGTACAGAAAATGTTGCAGATGTAGTCCTGGAGCTACAGCATGATGTTTACTTGTTGCTGCAGATGTAGTTTGTGTTGCAGTTGCTTGTTTTCTGTGTAGATTTGCAGTCACCCACGTCACGAAAGCTTTCTTTCCCAGCTCCTTAGGCTAGTTGCTTGTTGTTCAGTTGCAAGTGTTGCATACGTTGCAACGTAGTGGTTGCTAGAGTTGCTGTTGTTGCAGGATTTGGCTTAGCTGCAGGAGTTAACGTGTTGCTGCAGTTGTAATGGGCGGTGTTTGGCTGAAGTTGCTGTGTTTAGTTGCAGGAGTTTGGATGTGGCGAGTTTTCTAGGCAGAGGATGTTGATCTATTAGCAGGAGTTGCAGATGTAATGTTGCTGTAGTTACACGCCTCCTCGTTGGTTGCTCAAACTCGTGTCAGGCTGAGATTGAATGAAACCTAAATGTGTCGGTGACATCATCGCGCTTTCACTGATTGCCCGTCCTTGTTTCCTGTCTCAGGTGCTGATGGTGCGTTTTGCGTCGCTGTTTAACATGAAGGAGCAGACGGTGACGTTCGTCTCCGGCGCCACCTACAACCTGCAGGAGCTGCGGGCGATGGGCATGAGGGACCTGCTGGGAGCCATGTTTGACTTCAGCCACAAGCTGGCGGCGCTGGAGCTGGACAGCGAGGAGCTCGGACTCTTCACCGCCGTGGTGCTCGTGTCAGCAGGTGAGCAAAGATCGCCGCCGCCGTAGATTAGCTGAAATGTATCGCAGTTATTTAAGCAACGTGTTGAGTGTTTAAGAAGGAAGTATAGAAAATCAACTTCCTGTTTGTAGCACATAACTACGGCGAGTGCAGGTGTAGCCCGAGTTTGTGTGGTTTAGCTGTTGTTGTTGTTTTCGATGCACGTTCAATCATCCAGGTAAGGAAATCGCTAAAAGTTGATTCTTTCATCTGGATGTTTTCAGAGGAGAAACGTTTCTCCACTGAAAACATCCAGATGAACAGAATCAACTTTGGGGGATGTTGCTGCTGTAGTTGCACCAACTTGTTGAGTTGCAGGTTGTGCCATGTTTGGTGTAGTTGCAAAAGGTACCGTTTGTTCAAGCTGTTGCTGTAAGTGAAGCGTCGTGGTTGCAGTGATTTAGGTAGCAGTGGCGTATGTAGATGTTGTTGCCGTAGTTGATGTCTTGTGTTTAGTTGCATAGTTAATAATTTTTGGTTGTTGTGTGTCGAAGTTGCACATGTCGAGTTTGTTTTTAAACTGTTTAGTTGCAGCTGTTGCTGTAGATGTAGTGGGTGGAGTAGTCACCGGGTTTGGTTCAGTTGCAGTAGTTGTAGACGTAACAGTTGTTGCAGTTGCTGCAGATGTAGTGGTTGCCCGTTGCTCGCTGACCTGCCCTCTCCGTGTGGTTTCAGACCGCTCCGGCATCGAAGACGTGGCGTCGGTGGAGCAGCTGCAGGAGAATCTGATCCGCGCTCTTCGCTCGTTGGTCAACAAGTCGCCCGTCGCCCCAGAGAGCGAGCACCTCGACGTGGACTCGCCACGCTTCACCAAACTGCTGCTGAAGTTGCCAGATCTGCGGACGCTCAACAACATGCACTCTGAGAAGCTGCTGTCCTTCCGCATCGACGTTTGATGACATCACTGCGATGTCACCGCATCGCCACGCTCTCCAGCCCTTAACATCGCAGCATCATCCAGACCGCATCGGACTGGCAGGATGATGATGTCATCAGCAGAACTTTGCAAGACATGCGTCTCCCCGCCAAAATAAAAGTCTGCTTTAAAACAGCTGGTTGATGTTTTAAAGGAGCAGGCTGCCATTTTTAAACCACACTATTTTAACCTGTGTAAGCCCAATCCGTTAGCTTAGCCTAGCCAGCCCAGTTCTTTGACTTTACTGGAGCGTCGCCAGCAGGAAGTCTGAAAGACAAAAGAAAGAAGCGTGAAGGACGTGGACGACGACAGTACGCTAACTGATGAGCTCACACAGGACAAACCTGTTCGTTCAGCTTCACTTCCACTTCCTGTTGATGTCATCATTCTGTCTGATTTTAGCTTCGTTAACGTTCATGATGAGTTCAGACGCTTTTAATTTGAAAGTTTTCCCAGCTGGAGACAGATGCACACTAAAAGTAGCTCTTTCAAACATCTGGACGCATCCAGCTGCTTTTAATGATTTTAAGGACTTTGGGATCAGCTCCTTCGATTTTCAGCGGCCGGCGATCTCTGACTGCGGCGGCCTCCACTTCCACTCTGCAGGAAACAGAAACTCTTCCAGTACGAACTGATTCATCCTGAACTTCCAAACTGTGGAGCGCCCGGAATGATGACTCCACCTACTACAGAGATGGAGGAGGCGGGGCGTGACCTGGCGACGCCTCAGACAAACCTTATGCAGCTGATGTTCTGTAAAGAAACTGTACATAGCCATGAACACAAAGATCCAGCTATACTTGAACTGTTTCCCTGAGATCTGTTGTACACAACTATTTTTGGTTAATATGAATATATGCCTGTGCAGATATCGTGACTATTAAAGTATGTACGAGCGAGGAAGTGCACCTGATGAAAGAAGATCTCTGATGTGTTTTAATCTGTGGTTTATGTTGTAAAGACGTTATATAAAAATGATATATAAATATATGCACACATGAGTCGTCTTGAATGTATAATATTCCCACTGATCATAAAGACGTTACTGCGATGGACTGATGATTGGACGAGTCGGAGCTGAAGTAAAACGACCTTCAGTTTTCTCTCAGCGAAGCTCATTTTACCCACCAGCAGCGGAGGAGAAGCTGGAGTCAGTTACAGCGGCTGGTGGAGATGCTGTAGTGGCAGGGTTTGATGTCACAGACTCAAGCTGCTGCTGGTTGTAGTTGCAGCAGCTGTAGAGCGGGTGGTGTAGCTGCAGAAGAGCCTGATTCGAGCTCTCTGTTATTGTACCGCAGCAGCTGTATGTGCTCTCTTCACGCCCCAAATCAAAATTGAGGAGGCTGTAAAGCAGCTCATGATGTTGGGACTAACAGTCACAAAAACTCATTTTACTACAGTAAAAACTTTTTAAAAAATCTGAAAACTGAACAATCAGTTTTATTTAAGTAGCGCCAAATCCCCATCCGTCCGTCAGTCAAAGAGACCACGCCCCTAATAATGAGTTTATTTTGACACGGAAGTCTATGGGACTGACTCACTGCTGCCTCTGCTGGGCACCACAGGAACTGCAGCTCTCAGTGCTTCCATGTTGGGTTTATTCTAGTTTATTTAGACACGAAGCTTCGTCTGTGTCACCTAGCTCACCTTTATTAGTGGAATATAAAGGTGTTTAGGGTTATATTCCAGTGGGTCTGAGCTCAGCGGCACAGTCTGCCCTCTGGTGGCGTTTTTGTGCCTTGCACTACTATCACTGAAATACAACATCTAACATCGTCTCTGCACCATCACACACATTTATCTCTCTGTGAACTGTAAAGTATGAGAAGAAAAGAAAAAATATTTCATGTGTAATTTCAGGTTAAATGTTTAATGTTTCATATAAAAACGAGACACGTTGATGACTTATTAATTAAAACAAATGAAAAACATCATATTTCATATGAACTATAGGCTGTAAATACAGCAGCGCCAGCTTTCTCCTTCACCAGACTCCTTTGACGTTTTCACTGATTTTAGAGCCGCAGACTGTGACAAACAGACATCCACGTGTGTCTGAGCAGCATGAGGTGAAGCTGATCGTGATTGGTGGGTTTTTGGAGGTTAGTGTCCTGTTGGCTCTGAGCTTTCAGCAGTCAGTGGGACAGCAGGAGAAGAAGGAGAAAGTGAGTCACTCTGAGGAGAAAGTAGGTCGAACTGCAGCCTTATAATCAAACTTCCACTTTCTGGATTCTGATTGGCCAGCTGCATCTCGATCTCAGCATCCCCACTGCCCAATGAGCAGCCAGCGGGCGGAGACGAGCACTGTGTCCCAGTTTCAGATGGACTCGCACATCACTTCCTTTTAGTGCTGTGCGTACTTATATAACACGTTTACAGCCGTGTGGTGCGTCACCGTGACAACGGATTACTCTGATCACTGATTTACAGCAGCAGGAGGAGGAGGTCGTCAGGCAATAAACAATAACACAAACTGAGATGTTGCACACTTGTTTGTATGTGTGACACTGAGCTGCAGGCGCATGCTTCATAACCACACCTGCATGGTGATGATGTTTTCGCGTGGAAGCAGTCTCCACCAGACTCCAGTCAAAAATGTTCCGTTTTCACACGTTCACTTTTACAGTTACGTGTTTATCAGGGTTAAAGCTCCTTCACTGACGCACCAGACTCCACGCTAATAATAGCTGCTTTTATTACGCCTGGCAGCCGTCTCAAACCGTCTGCTCATCTGAGGAGATGCTGACAATCAGTAAATGCTTGGAGCAAAAACACGAAGCAGCCTGGCTTTCGTACGCTAACCCTCAAACCAAACTCCATTCACATTTGTGCTCATTTTAAACACGAACAGAATCCTTCACTTAGTCCACTCAGATATTTTCCTGATGTCAGTTTCCTACTGGTGACTCAGCAGCAGTCACACACGTCCACGTTCCGCTGTATTAAGAGTGGGTGAGATGTGCGTGGAGGGGAAACTCCACAGTGATCTGCAGTAATCTCATTCTTCAGCCGGACTCCTGTGCATACACTAACCAGCAGCTGCTTTTACTCCACTGTCCTCTCACCAGACTCCGGGTGGACCTTTCCACACCTTGCTGTGACCAAAGATCAGTGAAAATCTAACTATGTGCCCAAGAGCATCAGTTTTACAGGCTGTAATTTAGAATTATTTGTTACACCAAACTCCGTTTAAGTTTTGGCTGATTTTACACTTCCGTGCATTTGAACCAAGCCCCAGTGAGAAACGTTAAACCTGTTAAACCTGCATGTTCTGCAGACACACGTGAGCTCCGTGGCTGTTTCCGTGTTTCTATGAGAACACGTGACCCGGTGTGTCAGCAGCAGGAAGTCTTCCCGCGGGCTGCGCTCGGTTTTCCTTCAGGAGCCGTTCTGTCTGGTTTCTGACGGCGTGACATGTCCCCGACATGTTATCTAATCACGCGGACATGCGTGTGTGTGTCTTACGTCACGTTGTACAGTATCGGTGTAGCAGTGCATGCTGGGAAGCAGCAGACAGCAACACGAAAGGAAACAGCGACTCCCGGTGGCAGCTTTACAAAATAAAAGCTTCAGCTGAAGAATTGAATGAACATTTTTTTCTGCTGGATTATAAATGAAAGAAGTTCATGAAATGTTTTCAAAGATGGTTTTTTTAAGTTTACATTTAAAAACAGACCCAGCTCAAGCAGAAATGGGCTTTTAAAAACAGCCTTTCTATTAAAAACAAATGGTTTTACTCTGCAAACATGCTTTTATTGATTAAAATCCTCCAATAATTGGTTTATTTTTTCTCACAAATATTCCTTTAATTTGACATATTTACTGACAGTTTCATTATTCCCTAAATATTTTTTATACATTTTTATTTTCAGTAGTTTTTCTTATTCTTTTATAACTGACTGCAAACAGAACTTTGTTAGAGTGCATTTTATTAGTTTAAAAATGAAGTTTCTGCTTCTTCTGTGTGAAACTGATGCTTCTGTAAATTCTATAAACTTCTCTATTTATCAGAGACAAACTTCATGTTTCACACACCCAGTTTGTCCTGCAGGCAGAGGTTTATTTTCATGTCATGTGATCACAGACAAAAACACTTCAGGGCAGGTGACACATGTGCAGGTGAGAGAGCGACCCCCGGTGGATGTGTGAGAGAAGACAGGAAACGGTGCAGGAGGAAGACGTCGTTCAGAGGAGAGGACTGCTGTAGAGAAACACCAACCACTCGGTCAGACGCAGCTCACCGCTGGGAGGCTTAGACACACACACACACACACACACACACACACACACACACACACACACACACACACACACGTTCGTGTGAGACGCTGCAGCTGGAGCAAGAACACACGAGGTGAAATCAAAACCACTGAGATGAATGTTTGAGGCGGTCTTTGGGAGCTGGAGGTGGTGTCACGCCCCACCTGTGCAGGGTAACCACGGCGTCTCAAGCATCCTTTACTTCCCCAGACTCCAAGCCTCGCGTACTAACACACCTGAAACGCGATAATTTCACCTAAAAGCAGACTGTGAAGCAGCTTCCTGTTACCTTCAGCCCAGATGTGTCCACATGTTGCCCGTCCCGCCGAACGGACAGCAGGCGCGCCCGCCCCACGCGCGGGTATCCCTCCTCCACCTCCAGATGACACACCAGCGATGCCGTCTTCAGGTAGATGAGGAGGCGCTGGGCGGGGTGCCAGTCAACGGCGAAGCTGAAAGACAGATGGTGATTAAACGCCGTGGGAAAGAGGCCCCGCCCACGTCAATTCAATAATTGGTCAGCGCTTCACCTGGACCGCAGGCTCTGGATCTCAGACAACAGCTCGGCCTGCCCAACATAACACCGCATCACCTCCAGCAGGGCGGCGCTCAGCTCCACCCGTCGGCCCGTCAGGCTGTCCTCCGCGAGGCCCGCCGTCCCCTCGCTCACCTGAGGATCAGACGCCTTCATCACGCTCCATTTGAAGTTGGGCTACACATACTCACTGATCGATTGATCTACAGTTTGTAAGACACGCCCCTCGCATCTGTGACATCCAATCAGTTTTAATGAGTATTGATTGTTGATTGACTAACAGTTCTTAGTGTCGGAGGAAACCTGACATCACGCACACCTGTGTCCTTACCTGCAGTCTGAAGCGGTCGTCATGACTCCAGGTGACTGACAGCCTCAGCGGCTCCAGTTCATTGGACAACAAGTCAGAAGAGGTGTGTGGCCTGAGCTCCACACACAGCTCTGATTGGTTGAAGGCGAGCAGGTTGATCTGCATGACGTCCTGCGTGGTGCTGACGTGCACCTGCAGCCTGCCAGGTGACAGGAAGTCAGGTTAGCGACCAATCACAAGGGCTTCAATAGAGTCACGTGACTTTGTGGCACTCACTCGTCTCTAAGTCGCTGCCACTCGATCAGGTGACCGAGCATCACCTCTGACTCCGCCCTCAACTGGGCCAGCTGAAGGTCACATGACTGCAAAGCATTCTGGGCGTTCAGCAGAGACGACTCCAGCTGCTCACTCTGCTGCCTCTGCAGGGAACAAGGAGACAAGGGCAGGAGGAGACAAGGAGAGGAGAGGATGAGGCGACAAAGAAAAGCAAGATTACCTGATGTTTCACCTCCTCGACTCTTAGTGACTGACGTTAACCTGTGTGTGTGTGTGTGTGTGTGTGTGTGTGTGTGTGTGTGTGTGTGTGTGTGTGTGTGTGTGTGTGGATACCATGTTTAGATGTCTTTCTGAGGACCAAAATTGGAATGTGACTGTACTTGTGGGGACGGACATCTGGCACAAGATTGAAGACATTTTGAGGCTCAAAATATGGTTTTAGTGTCAGAGTTACAGTTAGTTACAGCATCATGTCAATGAGATGCCCCCACTAAGATATGAAATCAAGTGTGTGTGTGTGAGACCTTGCTATGCAGATGCTGAACCAGCTGTGTGAGTGTGTGTCGTCTGTCGTGGATCTGTTGGATTCTGTCCTGCAGAGATCTGAGCAGCGCCTCGGTCACCTCCACCCCTGACCTGCTCTCCACCTTCAGGGCCTTCCACCTGCCCCGAGCCCCACCCCCTGACACACACACACACACACACACACACACACACACACACACACACACACACAGTAAGTCACTTTCTTTGTGTTCTTTCCAGGTGAGACAGCACCACAGTGTGTGTACCTGGTTGGGGGGGGCAGCACTGTGCCATCAGTTGCTGGGCAGACTCCAGTCCTTCCAGCAGTGACATCATGGAGTCGAGGACAAACAGCTGACGCCACAGAACCTTCTGCATGCGACGGCGGTCCTGAACACATGTGAAAGGACGATTTCAGGGACTGTTTTGATCTGTCAGCTGATTGTAGTAAATACAACATAAAAGAGATGATGTCACACAGAAATTAGAGCCAACTTAAAATAAACAATAAAACAACATCATAGAAACATGAGGGTGACACACTGCCGGGGCTCAGTGTTCATACCCACTCACAGGAGCACAGGTATACGAAACATATTCCATAAACAAACACTCACAGTGTGTGTGTTCTGTTAGCACTGTGGACTTTATCAAACACACCAAAACATCTGGATCCTGAGCATGAGGAAGAAGACTGACTGAAGCTCAGCTCACTGAACCACTGGCACGCTCCACACTGCTGCCTGTGGGTCATGTAACACGGCAGCCATTTTTAATGAGAACACACAAAGCAAAGCCTTCCGCCAGCGTCCTCCTTATTGACGTTTCTCAGCCTCGTAGCTGCACTTCATGTATTTGTGGGGATTTTCATCAGACCCCCGTCTGTTTCTGCTGTCAGCCTGGAGCTGCTGAACACCTCCTCTACTTTATTCTAACGTTGCAAGGATGGCTGTAGCACGGTGACGTGTTACACACACACACAGGAGTCAGCTGTCTCTGGTATGAACACTGACTGAAGTCCGCTCTGACAGGCTGGCCTCACTCAGGTGAGAAACTTGAAAACTTGCGACTGAGCCAACTCAGGGTCTGCTCTCCATTTCATTGTTTACGGTTTAACTATTCCCTCAGTGGGGGTCAGAGGTCAGGGTTTTGTGCGTTTTGCGAGGACTCTGATGTGTTGTGAGGTGTAGGCGGACTATTTTCTGCCACAGACCGTAAGGAAGAGCACCATCCGCGCCGCCTGGTCGCAGTCCGGCTCCGGCTCTCCGCGGGGCTCCAGCAGGGCCGGATCACAACGCCGAAGCACGCTGACAGCAAACAAACAAACGAACAAACGTCAATACTGAACCCTCGGTGACGCAGACCGTTAGCTTCAGCTGCTAACAGCTAATAAACTTCAGATTTTCAATGTTTTATTTCATCACGCGAGGCAGAAAACAGTCGCCTGACCCACGCTTCACGTGTGAAAAGGTTTCTGGAGTGGAAACAAACATTTATTGATGAGATTGATCACAATATATTAAATATTTTCAGACTTACGCTCGCACCGCCGCCATCTCTGTTTTCAAATATCCGCGCTCCCACCCGGGAGCTGATTGGCTCTCTGACAGTGACGCTACAGACAGTTAAGCCAATCATCGTGTTGAAGACAGCGACGCTCAGCGGTGAAATTTTTTCTTTTTCACTTTTATTGTCACATCACATGTGCAGGTACATTGGTACAGCACATGTGAGTGAAATTCTTGTGTGCGAGCTTCACAAGCAACAGAGTTGTGCAAAATACAAGAATGTAAACAAGCAAAATACAAGAATGTAAACAAGCAAAATACAATAATGTAAACAAGCAAAATACAAGAATGTAAACAAGCAAAATACAAGAATGTAAACAAGCAAAATACAAGAATGTAAACAAGCAAAATACAAGAATGGCTACATCTGAGACTAATAAATATATGTACAATATATAATAGTATATGCATTTCTGGATGTGTATACTAAATATTTTTCTACGTGTGTGTGTGTGTGTGTGTG